TAAAAAAAAGAAAGAAAACCACAAAGGAAATATGGGGCAAAGCTGGGACATATGGGCAGACGAAAAGGAGGCACATGTAATCCTCCCAATGACAGATTGTTCCAGCTCAGGGTTTCACATTTGCTCCAGTCGAGCACTGGTCAGGTGTGCTAGGGTGAGGCAGAGATGGAGGGCAGTGAGACATAAGTTCTGACTAGACTGTCTGGAATCCACACAGGTGAGCCTGCGTCCTGTGGAAATATACAAGCATATCCTCTCCCCCAGGTTAAAAGTCTCTCCATTTGATAAGGGCTTTAGGTTTATAATACAGGTCATAAAAGAAATGAAGAACCATGAGCAGAGGGGTGAGACGGGGGTCTGGATGGCCTTGAGAGGGGTCTGGAGAGTGGCCGTGTAGGGGTAGCTGCCTGAGATGGAAGAGAGTTGGGACCTGACTGGTAGCGAGAAGGTGGGCGAGAGGAAGGAAATGGGAAAGGCGATGGCTAGGGAACACCTCCATTAACTACTCTTTAGTCTGAACCAAAATTCGGGTTGAAATTTGATGTGTGAGAAGTGGATCTTGTTGTCATGGAGCCCGATCCAGGCTGGCCCATATGCAGTGAATTCTGTCGCCCACTTCCCCAGGACATGACTTCTCTATTTCTTTGTCCAGGAGGAATATATTTATTTTTCCCTAGTGTTTATGCTGTGAGTCTCACGTTCACTGGAATTTCTCTGAACTGCTGTGTATTTTTCTTCTTCACTCCTATCATCATTTTCCAGGGTTACCCGGGCTTTGTACTGGGCACTTGATTCAATTTCTTCTGCTAATTGGTTTGCTCTTGCTTCTCATTTTAAAAATTCTTCCGAATTATCCCTTTCTAAGGGCACCATATATGAAGATAAACTGCTATCATATGTAGACACTACACCATGATGTTCTTCATTATATCAGAACATATCATTGGGATCCCATCCGTTAGAGATGTCATTTTCCAAAGTTTCTAGCAGCTCCTCACTGGTAGCGAGTTCCCCTGCATTCTAGGGCTCCAGGTCCTTCGCATTGTGTTCACCGTTCACTTTAGCACTGATAGCTGAGTCAGTAAAAGCATCTCTTCTTGCATAACTGGAGTCCATATCTTTAAACTGTACCACAACGAAGTCTGAACACTTAAATAAAATACTCTCCATTATTTCTTCATGTTTTGGCCTTCAACTGGATTCTTTTGATCTACATTCCTTTGCCCAGTGGAATCCTTTCTGATGTCGGGGACAAACAGTTTTTGGAGGATTAATATGATTCCCTGATGTATTTCCAGGCTGTCGAGGAGCTTGCCATCTGGCTTGAGTATTATTATTTTTATTTGGGCATTCTCTGCGAAAGTGCCCAGATAAGCCACAAGAGTAGCAGTACATATTTCTTTTATTACCTGTATTATTGCTGCCTGTTCGGGTGCCAAATGCTGGGGTCCAACCTCGGCAGGTCCAGGGGTTCCTAAAGGTGTGGACGGAGTCGGCAAAGAAGGAATGACACGGAGACAGCCTTCAGTTGATCAGCAGTCTAGCCAGGATCTCTAGCCAAGTTCTGGTGTTTCTTGTCTTGTTACATCTGTATTTATACCAGTTGATTTTAATCCTGTCAATTTCTATTGCAAAGGTTAGGGCGGTTTCTTTCCTGCAGCTACTGGGTCAAGCAGCAAGGACGGACTGGCTTCTGGCACTCTCTCTCTCTCACACACACACCACATGTATCCACACACTCCTTTATTGCTCCCTCACTCTCTCACACTCTCTTCCTCCTTACCTTCTGGTTGGTTGCCATCTTTTTCCACGCTGAGATTTTTGTCTTTTTTTTTTCCAGTTGTAAATCAGTAGCTGTGTGACAAGACTGCTCTTTACAGGTAAATGTGCTCAAAATCATTGAGACATTGTGTTGCTGCATGAATCGTGTGCAACTAGATGGCAAAGACCAGGCCATTGAATGTTATGTGAGCCCGGAGCATTTGCCCCATGTCAGAAGAGAGTGCTGTGTGTATTAGGGTCAGGAGGGTGTTAGGCCCGGCTGGAGCTTATGCTCTGCTCCCAGGCAGTGCCCATATTAGAGGCAAGATGTGGAGGGATGGCTGCTGGCAGTGTCTGGTGAGGTGAGCCCACCATAGGGAGATCTTAGCAAAAACATCACATTCTCATGTTTGGCAAGGATTTCCTACTGTTGAAAAGTCTAGGTCATATTAGAAACTATGAATGGAGCAGCACCCATGGTGGCCTAAAGAAAAGAGGTGTTTCTGGACTTTGCTGACCACATGACCCGCCCTGATTTGAGTTTGATTGTGCACAGGCAGGAGCTTTTGATAATGAGAGGGGCCATGTTGTGGCCTGTCCGAAGGTCAGACTTTACCCTCTAGCACAGAGGTCCTCAAACTTTTTAAACAGGGGACTAGTTCACTGTCCCTCAGACATTTCACACATGCGCACTGTGGGCCCAGGACGAGTCAGCTGCTAAGCAGGACAGGCAGTGGTGGCAAAAACACCCTGCGGGCCAGATAAGTGATTTTGGTGGGCCGCATGTGGCCCCTGGGCCATAGTTTGAGGACACCTGCTAGCAGATACATTTTATAAGTTTTCCTACCATTTGATTCTGTGCAATTGTTATTAGTGGAAGTGGGGTGTCCACTAGTGGAAGTGGGGAATACCTTTTCCACACGGCGCTAGGAGTAGAGTTCTTATGATAGCTTTAGAAAATGAATTTTCTAAGACTTGTACAGGAGAATGAATGAATTTTATTTGCATGGAGTTATGTCCCTCAGTTGCAAAAGTCCCATGTCCTTTAAACTGGACCTGGAAAAGGTGCAGCTAGGGATTCAGCAGAGCTAGAAGCAAATCCAGTGCCCAGAGGTTGCATTCCCTGCAACCCTACAGAGCATCAGGCTGGTTGTAATCCATTAGTTCCCTGAGTGTGGGCCATGTGGGCCAATGCAGGGGAGCAGGCCCTCTGCCCCCGCGAGGAGCACAAGAGGGCGAGAGAGGGAACTCTGTTTTTCTGGGAGCTTATGTAGCTCAGATTTGGTGCCATTTCAGGGCCACGTCTGTTCTGGCCAATGACCTGCTCCCAGGTGTGACTGACAAATAAACACCTTCCTATGGCATTCAGACTTACTGGGTATGCTTTTATTCTTTCTTTGTCCAGTCCCTCCCCACAGGATCTGTGGGGAACAGACCTGGAGAGTGTGAAACTGCAGCTTTCTGGCACAGATGTCATGCTTATGTTATCAGGCCTTCCCATTGCTTCGTTCCTGTCAATTAATTAACAACTGGATAATTATAACAGTATCACAATGACATTCATGCCTGCTACTTTTACTGTATTTTAAATTGTATTTTCCAATTACTGTCCACTTTCAATATTATTTTGTATTACTGTCAGGTGTACTGCAAAGTGATTAGAAAACCATACACTTTACAAAGTGTTGCCCCCAATATTTCCAGTACCCACCTGGCACCATGCATAGTTATCACAATATTATTGACTGTTCCCTATGCTGTACTTTGCATCCTAGTCACTATTTTCTAACTACCCATTTGTATTTTAACCTTTTTTTACCCAGTCCCACAAACCCCTTCCCCTTTGTCAACTATCAGTCTTTGTATATGAGTCTGTTTCTATTTTGTTTCTCACTAACTTGTTCTTTAGATCTACAAACAAGTGAAATCATATGGTATTGGTCTTTCTCAGTCTGACTTATTTCCCTGAGCATAATACCCTGTGGGTCCATCCATGCTGTCACCAATTATATCTGCTACTTTTATGGCTCATGGAAATGAGGCTGCTGCCCTGCCTGCTCCCCACCTGCTGCCCTCTCCCCGAGGTGAAGAGGATGAGCCAGTTAACAGTTTGGGGGCTGCATGTCTAGAAATGAAAGAAATAAACTCATTTCCATGCTGTTCTAGAGACCCAAATGATACAACTCAAACAGGGTGTAATGAGCAATAAAAATAAAACACAAATACAGGACACTGGGCTGGATGTGAGGGTGGAGCTGGCTCTGCCCAGTGAGAGATGGGGCCAGGTATTCTGCAGACACCTTGCTGCCCTGTCCTCCAGAGCCATGCATGGGGCAGCAAAGGCCTGGTCCCATATTCACCTGTGCCAGACATAAGCTGGGTGGCAACTCAGTGACTAGCCCTGCTGGAACCTGGGCACTCTGGGTGTCCTTGGTGGGAGGGATATGCAGAAGTGGGAGCTCAGACCAGTGTGGTCTGTGGGGCGCAGGGTTGGTGGACTCTGAGGATGCTCAGTAGTCAGCAGGGATGAGAAAAAGGGGCAGCCAGGAGTCTGGAGGCCAAGCTAGGCCCTGAGCTCAGAGGAGGGCAGAAAAGGGCAGGGAAAGAAATTCAGCCCAGGAGGGAATGAGGAGCGTCTTGGGACTTCCCTCCCTCCTCCACCCCTGTCTCTCCTCACCAGCCCCCAGACCCCAACCCTTCTGCCACTCCCTGGTTGCTCAGGAGGGCCCTCCTCTCCCCTGTGTGGTGGGGCCTCCTGAGCTGCAGCCCAGGCTGTGCCTGCTTGGTGCCCAGCACCCACATGCTAGTCCTTTCCTCTCAGCACTTAACACAGAGGAAGAAGTAAGACCTTCACACGGAGCCCAGGACCTGAGAGATTCATGTTTTCTCCTAATGGTGCTGGCCCTGCAGGTGCAGGTGTGACCAAGAAGGGCCTGGTAACAGGTTTGCATGGGGTTTGGGAGCGGGGGAGGGGGGAGAAGAGGAGGAAGTAGAACAGAGAAAAACTACTGCTATTGACCTTCTGAGCAGAGCTGGTGCCGTGAATGAGGGTCAAAGAATAAACAAAATACCCAGCTCTTCCCATCAGCTACGAGACATTTATTTGGTTTCTGGCTCCACCTCCCTCCCTGCAGTGCGGTCCTGGATTAGCTCCAAAGAAGATGGTCTGCATCCTGCGGTTGGAGGGTTTCCATGGTTTTCTTTATCCAGGGAAGGAAACTGGCGACTTTGGTGTAGACTCATGGGGGTGTCCCGTTTTTGGATCCATAGGAGACAATGCCCTGGATCCCATTTCTACACAGGAGAGGCCCCCCGGAGTCCCCCTGTGGACAGACAGAGGAAAGAACTGAGCCAGTTCTCCTGGCCCTGCCCTCCTTGCCACCCCAAGCCCCTCTCGGAGAAGGCTGCCTTGCATGGTGTTCACTTGGGAGATAAGCAGTGGTCCCCTCAGCCTGGACATTGTCACTGCTTCACTTCACCCCCGGTGGTGGCTCCCTCTGCTCCCCCAGGTCCCTGATCCTCTGGCTATGAAGGTGCTGCAGGACTGTGGGTGCAGCTACTATGTAAGGACCCGAGAGCAGGAAGGTGGGGCTGACACCATTAACCAGCTCTGAGGAGCCAACAGGTGTAACTTCTGCACACCCAGGGAATAGTGATCTCACTGCATTGCCCCAGCTTGGGCCACAGTGTTACACATCGCCCTCCCCAGGGCAGGGCTACAGACTAGGGATATCCACACCGTGTTTGGAGTGACCAGGGGCCCTTGTAGGCCCTTGGAGACCCTATTCCTCCCTGCTCTGGCGGCTCCCCTTTTTCCTTTCTGGGGAGAAAGATCACAACCTAGAGGGTGAAGGAGTCCACCCCCCTGCCTGGGTTCCAGGTTCTACTTTCTACCCAAACACCCTTCCCCCCAGAACCAAGCCAGGCAGATGTTCAGTATCACCTGAAAGGAAGTCTTATTCTCTCTTGGGTTCCCCACACACAGTTGAATGTTCTCATTGTAATGGTTAAAGTGCCTTTTACACTTCAAATCCTCCTGCAGGGTCAGCTCTACCTCCTGCAGAGTATTTGAGCGAGGGCCCCTCCGTGTGACCTCTCCCCAGCCGGCCACAGTGCAGTTATCTCCTGGATTTGGCAGGTCTTTGCTCCTGGGCAGTGGGAGGGGCTTCACAGTATCAGTTTGGTCAATGTTTCTCTCCAGCTGGTGGGGAAGAGGCAAGGGAGCCCAGGTCAGCGAGAGGTCTCTGAGCCTGGACCCTGAGGGACACTTGAGTCACTAGGACTGGTTAGGTGTCCAGAATGGGAGGAAAGGATGGGACAGTTCACAGTGAGAGGAGATACAATGAGATCCCAAAACTGCAAGCGCAGCAGGAGGTTTCCTCACCTGCAGTAACATGATGTCATAGGTGCCTTTCCTCTTATTAAACTTTGGGTGCGGGATGGCTCTTTTCACCAGGATATCCTGTTGGGTCTTCTCCTTCTCTTTGATGTTGTGGGCCCCCAGGATGACACTGATTGACCTGCACAGAGAGCAGATTGGGTGAACGGTGGGGAGATAGAGTCACAGGAAATTTAGCTCAGGAGCTGTGAAGGGCAGGTCATAGCTGGGGCGGGGGAGGGCTTCAGACTGGGAAAATCGAGCAACAGGGGAAAGGGGCTGAGTGACTCTACTTCTCAATGACACTGAGGTTAGGGAGCTGGGAGCTTTCTGGCCCTCAGGAAATGCCATGAATTGCTTGCATTTTCATTTTGACCCTAATGCATGTGTTCATGGTACACCGCTGCTTTATTTGCCGAGTGTGGTCCTCCTCTTCCTGTGTTACTTGTTGTCACCTCTGACCCTCTGAGCCCAGAGATTACCTGTCCTATTTCCCAGCCTCTCATTGCTCTGTCATGATCCCTGATGGCTCCTCTGATGAAGTCTCATGGGCTTGAGTTATCGGGAGCCTGGGGAGCTGCCCTGGGCTGCAGTTCCCGGGATGAAGGAGAGGGTCCCTGTAGGGGTCTCAGGAGGTGTAGCCTGGCTGCAGACCCTTACCTTCCATTGCAGTGAGCAGCTGTCAGAACATAGTTCTTTTGCACAAGGACACCGCCACACAGGAACTCCTTCTTATCTTTAATGTGAAGATAGGCCATGTAGGGGCGGGAGTGGGCCCTGGCTTCATGTCCCCCGATGATCTCCCCTGAAGAAAAAGTGTGTTGCCCTTGTGTGTCCCCACTGAGTCCACCAGGCAGGCACTGGCTTGATGACTTAGGCACATGGGCACTTGGGAGGCTGGACTGGCCTGGAGTTGTCAGGGGGTGGGGAAGGCCCTCAACTTTCTCACCTGGAAAGGGAACAGCAAAGGGGTGGGTCTGTGACTTTGCCTAATACATAGTTACAGGTGAGAATACAGGTCTTAGGGACAGAGAAGGCCTGGAGGCTTCTGAAAGTTCCTCTCCTGACTTCGCTTGGTGTTGGGTGAGCTTCTGAGGCCCCCGTGGTGCTGTGTCGTCCAGGGTAGTGCACTTTGCAGTGTCTAGGACTTAAGGGATCTAGATGCTGACACATGAGGAGTTCCTGGTAAGTGTTTATTAACTGCCTTGAAGGGTTGGCCCCCAATGGGCCTCTGGAATTGGGTCAGTAAGGCCAGTGCTGTGGGATTCTGGAAAGCAGAGAAGTTTGGGGCTGCGAACCTTGGTGGAGAGCTCGACCAGGGATGTGCAGAAGGGCCAGGAGGTCTGTGCCCGCTGTGGGACGGGTTGGGCCTGTGAGGGTGGGGATGGTCACTCACCTGCCTCTGCCGAGGGGAGCAGGAAAAAGGCCAGCAGGAGCACGAGCAGGGGTGGCTGCATCTTCCCAGGAAGGCTGCTCAGGTCAGAGCTGCTGGTGGTTCTCTGTGCTCTGTTTGCATGCCCAGGAGAAGAAGGAAGTGTGGGTGGGCTCTGAGACCTGAGTCCCCTCTGGTTTTGTAGAGTTTCATCCCAGAAGGCTTTCTATGAAGCATCTCTGCCCTCACACCTCCTGCCTGATGATGGTATCTGTGTGGTTGTGTGAACAGTATGCAGTGACCACATCAGTACCCACAGCTGATGACTCAGAGCAGGCCCTAAGCAGACTCCAGCCCTGAGCAGGAACCCAAGGCTACAAGGTGGGGCCTGTGGCATGTGGTATTGACCAGTGGAGGTACTGGAGCCCAGAAACCTGAGTCCCCAGTGAGAGAACCCCCAGTGCCTCATCTCCATGCTACTAAGTCCATCAGGGTAACTTCTTTTGCATGTGTCTGTTTAGGTCCTTCTCTGTCCTATGGACAAACATAGTGGAGATGTGTCTCCTGTTTTTAGAGCAGTGATTTTCAACCTTTTACTTCTTCATGGCACATAAACTACTAAAATTCTGTGGCACACTAACAAATGTATTTTTGTATATCTCACAAAAAAATAGGTATACTTTTGATTGTTTTGCAAAAAGAAAAAGTAATTAACTACCCTTTTTGCTCCAAAGTGACTTAAAAAAATCAGGTGCCTATACTTCTATATAAGCACTTCTGGTACCAAGAATTAAACAATAAGACACAACTATATTATGCACTGTGACCAATAAAATGCAATTCTTATATGACCTATTTATTTATGGTTCCACAAAGGGCATTCACACCAGATGACTATTGTTCTGTTGGCTGTTGTCATTTTTTTAAATATAATTTTTATTGATTTCAAAAAGGAAAGAAGACAGAGAGAGAAACGAAACATTAATGATGGGAGAATCCTTGATTGGCTGCCTCCTGCATGCTCCACACTGGGGATCAAGCTCAATACCTATGTATGTGCCCACACGGGGAATTGAACAGTGACCTCTGGGTTCATAGGTCTACGCTCAGTCACTGAGCCACAACAGCCGGGCTGTTGTAATTTTTAAATTTGATGATCTAAGGGAAAATAAGTTAGTGCTCCTGACTAAATAGACTGGAATTGCATGTTTTAAAAGTTCTTGGGGGACATTAGTTTAAAATTGCTGCTTTAGAGAGAGGTGGCCATCTGGTGGAGGAGATAGAAACATCAGGGAGCAGAGTACTGAGTGGGGAGGGCTATGGTAGAGTGATGCAAGGGGAGGAACAGAGCCTCACCACCATCTACTAAATAGACATAGCAACCCATTCATCATCACAGTTTCCTGTCGAGGGGTTTCATTTACAAATGCTCCATCTGTCTTGTCAACATTTTAAACAAAAGTACTGTCCTTGATATGTAGTGGCCTAGAGCAGTGGTTCTTAACCTTCTGGCCCTTTAAATACACTTCCTCATGTTGTAACCCAACCTTAAAATTATTTTCATTGGTACTTCATAACTGCAATGTTGCTACTGTTATGAATCGTAATGTAAACATCTGATATGCAGGATGGTCTTAGGCGACCCCTGTGAAAGGGTCGTTCGACTGCCAAAGGGGTCGCGACCCACAGGTTGAGAACCGCTGGCCTAGAGTAAGGAATCATTATTGCCCTTGCAGTTGAACCCACTGATTGACCAAAGTGTAGGTCATCCTTACTTTGGGTTGGCAGTGGTCAGTCCCACCCAAACCACAGGAACTAGGAGTGGAAAGGGCTATTTCCCCAAAGGAAGTTCAAGTTACTAAATTGTTGATATCGAATGAAGTGAGAAAACGTGCTTGTCAACCAAAGAGCAATAATTGTCCTTTCAGTATCCTCCGTGCTCTGTGCAGAGCAACACTTCTGCTAGAGCAGGCTTGGCACACAATAGGCTCACACTTGCTAAGCAAATTATGCTGAGGAGCTCACAACACTATGAAGGACGGTTGCTTCTAAACAGCCTTGGCCCAATTCTATTCAAAGATTGACTAAGCTTCTCTGAGTGGTTAGAGTTTGGTAATTAAAATGTCCACCTTTATGTTTTTTATATTTTACAATTCTTCTATGAGGAACATTATGTATCAAAATACATAACTTCAGTGTAAACGTCTTCCTTGTCATAGCACATACGGTACACTCCAAACCTCTATGTTTTTTGAATTCAGCCTGCCTCATATAGACATTTACAAAATAAAGAACCTTTCCGATGACAGTGGTAAATATCCTCATTAAGAAAAGTTGGCCTTGCGTCCTGCAGAGAGTGCAGGTGTCTGTTAAGGCATCAGCCTCTGGTCATGTCCTTGTTTCTTCTTTTGTCCAGCTCCCGTTTGGGCATTTTTCTGCTGAGACTAAATCTTCTGCTTCTACTGTCTCAGACCTTAGTTGACACACCTGCAATTGCTTTTTACCAAACTATTGATCAGCAAAAACAAAGGGGCTACAAGATCCCTCATTTTTATGCTGTGGCCTTTTGGGCTTCTAGCAAAGACTGTTCTGTGTAAATGGGCAGTTGACTCTAATTTGGAAATATGAAAATCAGTCCATTCTTGTCATAAAATTTATTTTACAATTATAATTATACTAGAGGCTTGATGCACAAAATTTGTGCAAGGGGCTTGGGCCTCACAGCCCTGGCATCGTCTGGAAGGTCATTG